TTCTTCAGTTTTAAAGAAATCCAGTGATAGTTGTCTGAACATAAACTGAAAATAGGAACATGGCAACATGATACTTCCTGTTTACATCAACCAAAGGTCAACATTTTATATTTTATTTATTTTTATGTTTTTATATATAATTACATTTTATGTATATTTATTATATCTTATACGTATATATAACATAATTTGACTGAATTTTTCATATTATATATGATTTATATTTAATTTTAATTTGCTTTATTTTATTTTTTTCTGTCTGAGATTTTATTCATTTTTAAATGTTGTTTCTACATGCAATGTATTTATTTTGATGCAATTAAATTTACACCATTTACTATATTTTATTTAATGTTCAATTTTAGGTCATTCTATTTTTTTATATAACCATCTTGTTTCTTCTTTTATGTAATTTTGCATTATTCTCTAATTTTTTCTACTTCCATTACATTACTAGTTCTGTAATATTATGATTTTATTTTCATCCTCTGATTATATGACACTATATCGTAGCACTACATGTACATGTGTTTTTTTGTTTTGTCTTATTTTTTTCTTGTTTTTTTTTTTTTTTAATTTTTATTTTATTTTTTCAAGGCGGCATTCTTGGATAATTACTTTTCTGTATGCTGAATTTTCTTTATTCTCAGTGATTCACCCTCCTGGTTGAATAAAGTTATTATTTCCATAATTAGGATTCACAGGAAGTTAATCAGTGGCTGTATAGTATCCTCATCCCATCTAACTCCATTTCTGCATTGCGTCAGACGCTCTGCTGCTTCTCCTTTCTCGTCATGTTTTTATTGTCGACTTTGGAGAATCAGAAACATGCTGCAAGGAGCTCTGCAGAGTTGTTGGTACTCGAGGCACGGCGGTCAGGGGCTGAACCAGTGAAGGCTTTTATAAGAACAACTCATTAACAGACAACCTCCTCGCTTTTTCCCTCCAGCGACCGCAAGTGCCGTTTGGAGAGGGTGCTTTTCTCTTTCAGCTACACAGAGAAAGCCCAGAAAGTCAAGGCTGGTCGCTCTGGGTACTGATTGCATTTTTTCCCCTTTTTCGCCAGAGTGCCTATTCAGACGAAGGCAAGAAGGGAATGAAAGCTTTACAAACATTAATGAAGCGCTCAACTAACAGTTTTTTCTTTGTCGATTCTCCTCCTGCTGGCCGGATGAGTTGTGGAGGAGGAAGAGGAGCCTGAGCAGCTCTGTTTGATTGGTTGACTCTGAGGTCAGTGTGGAGAGTTTGGCGGCTTTATCAGTTAGTTTGGTGAAAACAAGCCAGTCAAACTTGTCAGAGTGAGAACGAAACCAAAGACAGAAAAATAGTCTGAGCTGTTTTGTAAGGCTTCACATTTTGTTCCATTTTAGTTTCCTTCTTTCTTCAATGCTTTCATATGGAAAACAAATGAAGATTCCTGCACTGACTTGACCTCACCTCTATGTGTCTCTAAATTCTTGATGTTTAGGACCTTCAGCTGGTGCAAGGTTCTTACTTAGAAATGTCTTTGTATTTGCAGTGAGGAGGTCTTGTTAAAGAAGGACAGGCCTGCCAACATAAATGGCTGCTCCGCCATGGGTGAATGGGTCCTCCCCAAATCTGCTTTACATATCAGCGCATGTGCATGCTCTCTCCTACATTAGCACATATATGTAAACTGAGAGATTTACTAGTGACAAGGGCCACATAGGCACATTTAGGTAGCGGCCACTTCACTGGCTTCACTAATGCTAGCTGCCTCTTTGCTAGTAATGTTAGCTGTAGAGTTCTAGGTGACTGGAAAAAGTTGGTCATTACATTATTATTTGTGTCTAATGTTCGTGCCTGCTCCCTCTTTTTCTTCTCCTTTCTTTTCTAGCAGCACAATTTATGTGCAGGTCCTGGATAGCAAGGAAATTCACTCCCTACGTTGGCTAGTAGATACTTCAGATCAGTACATATCTTTCTTTGTTCATGTGGCCAGCCGCGTGTGGTGCACTTTTGACATTTTGATGTTCTCATACCATTTTCAGGAAAGATGGTTTGCATTCTGAAACAGACTACATTTTACTAAAGCAACAATATTTAACATCATTATTTCTGTTGAATTAATATGAATTAAATGCTAAGTAATTTGGTTAAAATAACATTTTCTTAACATTGCTTATATTTAAGATGAACATTATTATTGCAGTCCTCCATGGCCTCCCCTAGTGGCTGTGCCCCAGAAAGCTTCCCCCTTTTTAACCCCTTATGTGAGTCCGTGAAGAGGGGTTCTGTCCTCAAGTGCCAATAAAATATCAAAGATTCTGTCTCCGGATTTCATGTTTTTGATATTTCAAATTCTCAGATAGTGGATATAGTTTATTCAGCTGAATAGAGAACTGGCCCTTTATTTTCAATTCTCAGAGAAATCTACATGTCAATTTCTTTTGATACCAAATCATAGCACAGCTTTTTCTGTGGTGTTCCTCAAGGTCTTGGTGTCTCAATGTGGTATTTAGACGTTGTTTTTTAAAATATTCCATTTTGCACCAAATCTGTGTAACAATTGGTATCAGCCCAAAAATGGCTGCAACAGCTTATGAGACATACTGTAATTGAGCATGGGGAATGGCAATGACAGTACTTCAACCATAATGTTCTAAGACCTTATACACTTTCTAAATTTGAATAGGAACTTAATCAAAACAAAACAAAAAAGACAAAAATGGCTGTATTGTATGGACTGATGAAGTGAAATAGGTTAATATATAAAGTATATTTTAGAATTTTTTTCATATTTACATACTATATTCGAAATAAATGCATATTTTCTTTATTTACAGAAATACAGTTCACATTTACAAATTAATTATCTCCACCAAATGCATGATTTCGTCATGTGTCTGTGTGTCTTTTTGTGCGTATCTGTCCTCACCTTATTTCGAATACTACCAATTAGAAATATGTTTTGTGCACATTTACACTCAAGGACCCTCCGTGGTTGCAGTGATGAAACATTTTATTGTCTGCTCTGTTTTATACTGCCATGATTGCTGTCTCTTCACTCCTTTTAACCGATTATTAGGAGTGCAGTATTTGCCATTTCACGATTAGACATTGTGAAAGGTGTTTCCGGCAATCAGCTGGGCTAAAAACAAGCCTTACCTAGTCTGTTGCAGGCCACATTTTGGCCTTTGTCGTGGCTCAAAAAACGGACATCCATAGAAAAGTTTAGTTGAATCTTAAGCTGGCAAGCTATTTTTTCCACTATGTAGTGGAGTACCATAACCAAACATTATATTGCTGTATTTTATTTTATCATAAGGATTAAAAGCGCAAGCGATTGTAATGTTGCTCAACAACAGATTCCTCAGATTCACCACCCAATCTTTTGATTCAGGATAAAATCAAGCAGTTTGACAGTACAGAGCCAAGATTGGACAAGACTTAGAATCTCCCTGTCCTGAAAGAAACAGCTCTGGAGATCTGGTCAGCAACTATCAAAATTTCAAGTCAAGAAGGACAAAATACTCACATTGCACTTAGTCATCATGAAACGTGATTGAAGTCCCCTGTGATGATGATGAAGGTTTCTACAGTAGTCTAGCAGGGACAAACCAAACACTGGCTTTAGATAGGGGTATTTGTGTTTTTTGCACATTTCACAGCCACCATAGTTTCATAGTTACCAATTTTCCCAGGTAGGATAGGTTTTCAGCTCATAGTAGCAACAGATACTTTGTGTCTGTACGGATTTTAACACCGTATGCAGCACTTAATTTTATCTTTATTTTGTATGTGTATCTCCTGAATAGTGAATATTAGCGGAAGGAAAACAGCAGCATTCCCTCTACTGCTTCACAGACTTCGGAATTAATTAATATACATTCACAGGTGCATTTCATGTGTCAGAGATGAACGCAAAATAGACCCAGCATGTGAACATAATTGGGTGGCTGATGTACTACTTGTACATCATTGTAATGAAATTAGTGCTTTGGGAATGTACATGTAAATTTACTGTGTGAAACATAGTACAGGATATTGCAACCCTCTTTATTGTTGTATTAGTAATGGGCCTTTTATGTTTGAAAACACTGGTTTTTTCATTGTGAGTATCATAACATCACATTCCTGTCATCAGTTGGTCATCTTGAAAAACCAAACTACTTTATAACCTTCAGCATATGATCTGTAGCCAAGAGGTAAAGATGAAAGTCAGCTGACTGTGTCCTGTGTCTGATTTTTCTGTCATTTCAGGCCTGATGGGATGGGGACGGTGACCGTGGAGGAAAAAGAGCACTTTGAGGCCATCAGGAGTCGGCTAATGACTCTTCTGGAGAACCAGATCACACATTTTAGGTATGAACATCTTGTCATCCGAATCACAAAACAACAGAAATCTCATTCATTTCTGTACTGTGCAGAAATCAATTAGTAGACTTTTTGTTTTTTTCACTTCTCCATTAGTTCATCAATCCATACAGATAGTTTGGATTTCATTTTCTAGGTAATAAAATGGAGGGGAATGGAAGATAGTTTGAGCTGCCCAAAACACTGAAAAATTACATTGAAAGCAACGACTCTGTCTCCTTTTACAGAGATATTGAGTGTGTTCACATTTGCAATAGTTTCTTGGTTATGATCAGGTTTTGAATTATCCTCGTTATGTTTAACATCATATCAAATCGAATCAGAAACCATAATATGCTACAGAGTAGTCCAACACAGACAATCAAGAACCTGCATAATGTTAAAATCCTATAAATGTGAATAACCGGGGTGTTCCATGTAATTGTTATATGCCAAATGGAACAAAAACCAAGATACTAATGTGCATGTAAATAAACTCAGTATCCTCATCTATTTGATGGGTTTATTTGTCAGGGATGATGCTCATTAATGAACAGAAAATAGAAACTGTACATGAGCCACAGATAATCATAACTCTGGAATGGATTCTTAACACTTTCATCTGCTCCAATTAAAAACGTCTTCTTGGATTAACTGACCCTTTAAATGCAGAATGCTTTGATAAGTTTCTGCTGCTTTAACTCATAACGATAATGTAACTTAGTGAATGTTAATGCAAGCTATAAATGCTGATGAATAGTAAAAAAGGCCCAAAACCTGTAAAACCACCGGTATGCTCCTTTAACTCCATCACAATACACCCATGCAGTCTGGGTATTTTTAGCCCCATCAGCAGCACACAACAGGTGCAGGATATGCATCGGCGGCGGCTGATGAGACCTCCCTGCATCTGCGTGCTGCTATTCAGTGCTACCGCCGCTGTGTGAACACATTGTGAGCATGGTGTGAAAGCGACAGCCCCGAGACCTTGAGCAACACTCGTCTGAATGGACCTGTGCCATTAACTGTCCCAAAGCCCAGCTCTTTAAACCCTTCATGCCTAAGAGGGGGCCTTCCATCTGGCCCCAGAGAGGATGGGGGGGGGTGGGCCGAGGGGGGAGTCGATCAGCGGGAGTCATTACTAACTCACCTCAACAAGAGGCTAATGCTGGTAAACAAAGGCCTGGGACAATTCTGGGATTATACTAATGTCCCCCAGACAAGACCAGGATTTCCACAGTTTAGTTTAGATTAAAGCTGAGCTCAGCCACTAAAGATTCATTTATGGTTATAAACTCTAACCAGAGCTGCTCGTTTTCCTGCATTTAATGATCATTATTCTTTCTTACACAGAAAGGAGATTATTTTAAGATTACCTAATCACTGTTCGGATTCACAAGTAATTATTCATCTTTGGTTTTAACCACCAACATGTAGAATCTCCACAACTAAGGAGAAATGTAGGTGGGACCTGCTTATTTTGGTGTCACAAACAAACCCACATCATCAATCATGCAGACACCAAAAAAGTATGTGGATACCTGAACAGTGTGGCCATATGTCACTTTAACACCACGGGCATTGATCTGCTGCTTTAACAGCCTGTACTCTTCTGGTTTCAGTCTTTTCACCAGATGTTGAACCTGGCTACAGGGATTTGCTCCCATTCAGCTGCAAGAGCATTAGTGAGGTCCACTAATACTGGGTGATCAGGTGTGGCTCATAGCTCATAGCTGGTTTTCCAATTCGTCCAAAGGTGCTGGATGGGACTGAGGTCAGGGCTCTGTGTAGGCCAGTCAGGTTCTTCCACACCAAGCTGGGAAAATATGGGCTGCTTTGTGCTTGGGGACATTGTCATGTTGAAACAGAAAAGACAAACAGAAAAAAGACTTCTCTCCTTCTCTGCATACACATTCAATTCGCAATTCACTTCAGTCCAAATAAGCTTTATCACGTTGTTATGAATGACACATTATTGACAGAGCTAAATTACTTGTATTTCTTACTATTTTTGTTCTGTTCAATTTGAACACTGCATGAACATCAGCATTTCCACTGCTGACTGAAACACCAGCATCCAACTGTGGTTGGGAGGATGAAGGAGGAGGCTTATTCCAACTCTGTCTCTTAGAAATTACGCTTATTTACTACTAATACGCAACGGCAAATATGTTTTGAGAGAAATTTAACGCTGTCCAGATTACATCTTTGTCCATATAATAAGGAAACATTTTTGATGAACATATCTGCAAAACATTCAGGAAAGATTTTTGGTTAGATACTAAAAAAGTCAACACTAACCGGACATGCTGACTCTATTAGCATTTAACTGAAACCATAATCTTAATATGATTTTAACCAACTTGCTTTTGTTGCCTAAACCACACTCAGGACTGTGTGTTTTGTACTCGAAAAAACCAACTGAACATAATCCAGGCAGGAAAAAATTATACCCCCACGTAGGTTATCACTAATTTTGTGTTAAAAGAGGCTGAGGCTGAGGCTCACCTAAAAAGGAGAAAAAATCCACGCCACTGGGTGGTGGCAGGGTAAATCACTGTGCGGAGAC